GAGGATTGAGGCACATCCAATGGAAGAGAAATGGAACACTGTGCATTGTCACTTTCCATGTATTTTTCTATTTGGAAAGAGGGTATTAGTTTTGAGTGCAATTAATTAGCTGTCTTTATTTTTTGATTGACTGTTTTCCAATAAAAAACATAAATTGTTGAGAATTTTTGCTTCTAGTACCCTTCTGTTATAATGGTTCACTGTCCCTTGGTGTTTACTGATATCAAGGGTTCATTAAAATGTTGATGTGCATGTGGTTTGTCTTCAATAAAGGTGAAAGTAAACTTGCTGAAATTTTCTGCTGTGCATAAATTCTGCAATTTCTCTAGGATCTTAGATAAAAAATAGGGTAGATAATTAATGGTCCTGTGTATTCTTTGTGGTGATGTTAGAATACCAAAGTAAGTTTTGGAATTTCATGGCCAGAATTCACTAATAGTTTTAATGATTTTTTCCTCAGCCTATTTGATGCTGTATATTCATTGATCAAAAACAAAATCCACAGATTGCCAGTTATTGATCCTGTCAGTGGGAATGCACTTTATATCCTTACCCATAAAAGAATCCTCAAGTTTCTCCAGCTTTTTGTAAGTAGTTTAAAATGTATTTTCGACTAACTGATTTTAAATAATAGCCTATTACTATTAATAATGTAATAATGTAAATTAATAATGGAAACTTTTCTTGGTTGAACACTTTAATTTAAATGTTTTTGCTTGTAAGTGGCTTTGCATATCTTTTTGATCGTAGAAAAGATATGCTGGAAGGAGAAATCAAAAATGTTTTCCCTTCCCCTCAATTTAGAAAAAGTTGACAGCTGATACAAACTATCCTACATTCTATTGTTTTTAGTGTCTTCTCGCCAATAATAGTACCACAAAAAATGTCCGGTTCAGCTCACTAGTCTGTTTAGGTGCTCTTTTTCCCCAACAAAGAGAGACTGAAATTGTCCTTAAGTTATTCTTGCAGCTTTTGTCATGGTGATGAGAATGAAGCAAGAGAGGATTGTTGTAGTTCTTACAGTGTTCAGAGCAGCCCATGTAGAATGTTAGAAGATTACATACCACAGCAACTAGGGGTCACCAAAACAAATTCATATGCAGCAAGTTTAAAACAAACAAAATTAAGTATTTCTTCACTTAATGCACTGCCAACCTGTGGAACTCCTTGCCAGAGTTGTGAAGGCCAAGACTATTACAGGGATCAAAAAAGAACTACATAAGTTGAGGGAGGATAGGTCCATCAAAAGCTATTAGCCAAAATGGGTAGGGATGGTGTCCACAGCATGTTTTCCAGAAGATGAGGGTGCAGTGACAGGGTATGGATCACTCAGTGACTTGTTCTGTTCATTCCCTCAGAAGCTTCTGACATTGTCCACTGTCAGAAAACAGGATACTGGGCTAGATGGACCTTTGGTCTTACCCAATATGTCTGTTCTTATGTTCTTAATGTTCTGAGCAGCCAGAGCTAGCGCTGTGTTGGATGGGAATGCAGAATTTTGAACTAAGTATACAACTCAGAATGATTATACTTTTATCCTTTTGTTCCTGATGTCTTCTTGCTTTCAGTGGACTGAATAAGGGGGAGATTCAGCTTAAGGGCAAATGCATGATGTGTCCTCATTACATAAGATTAGATAAATATACAGCTTCAGAACGGAAAAAGTTTATTCTCTAATCTTACTTCTGCACCTCTTTGATAGAATTTGTTTTAGATCTGAATCTGTTTTTCAGCTAAATTCAAACATATTAGAGTGCTATGTAACCTATGATAATAATTTGAACTCTGTAGAAACAGCTTTAAATGCTGACTTTTTCATGTAAACTTCAATTATATGGTTGTGTTTTAACCATAAGATAGTTATATGAGGAAAGAAACAGTTACTAATCTTTCAGTAACTGTTCAAGATGTGTTGCACATGTCCATTCCATTTTAGGTGGGTGCACTCCCCAAACACACTTGCCAGAGTATTTTTCCTCTAGTGGTGTCTTTTGGGTTAGCTCTGGTGCCATTTACACGGCAACATTATAAAGGTCCCTGCCGATCGTATGCCCTCTCAGTTCCTTATTTACCAGCTGACTCATATGAGAGGAAGGGGGGCAGGCCTTGGCATGCACATGTGCAATGCCTCTGAAAGAACACCAGTTACAGAAAGGTTAGTAACCATTTTTTCTTCAAGTGCTAGTACAATGTCCATTGCAATGTAGGTAGTTCCCAAGGAGTTGCATAGGAGGTGGGCTCAGTTTATCCTGACTACACCACTGTTCAGCCAAAACTAGTATTGTTTCTGGCCTGTTGGGTGATTTGCAAGAAGATGTACACCAGTGACCCTGCAGATTCCCAGAATAGGGACTTGCACTAGGAAAACAATCAATGAAGCCTGTGATCTTGTGAAATGAGTGGTCTAAATGGCTGGAGGTGGAACACCTGCCAGCTTATAACATGTATAAATGCACAATGTGATCCAGGACAAGATTCTGTGAGCAGAACCTTTCATTCTCTCTGTTATCACAGTGAATAGTTGAACAGATCTACAGAATGGTCATGGTTCTTTGTATATAGCATGTCAGGGCCCATCTAACGTTGAGAGAGTATAGACATTGCTCCTCTTCAAATGTGTCTTTGGGAAGAACACTGGTAGGAAGATTGCTCAACTGCATCCATTTTTGGGAGGAAATCCAGGTGCGGATGCAGCTGTACTTTATCCTTAAAGAAAATCGCATGTGAGAATTCTAATATGAGGGCACAAATCTCCCAAACTCATCTGGCTGAGGTGATGGCAACTAAAAAGGCTGCTTTCCAAGAGAGGTGAATTAATGAGTTGCATTGCCAGTGGGTTTAGGTCCCAGGGAGGAATGAGATCCCTAACCTGGGAGGTACAACCTTTCTTGCTTTTAAGCAGCGGCGGATACGGGGCAGGGCGAGTGGGGCAGCTGCCCCGGGCCCCGCGCACGCACCCAGCATACGCTACTTCCGGTCGGCTGCTGCCGAGACGCATGCGCAAAATTGTGCCTCCCCAGGCCCTGCGGCGCAGCCCTGGGCCCCACAAAATTATCATCCACCCCTGCTTTTAAGGAAACAAATAACTATCTCATGAGAGAAGATAGATAAGGTGTTGATTAGGGGATCCAAGGCCAAAAATGCTTAGGGGATCCAAGGCCAAAAATGCTGCAAGGTAGACCTCGACTGTAGAAATAGCCAAACCTTGTGATTTCAGACATAATAGGTACTCCAAAATAAGCTGCAAAGAGGAATGCAAGGGCAGAACTGTGGCCTCACAAGGAGAAGAACTGATATCATTTCCTCTTAATCTGGATAGTGAACAGGTCTATCAGGGTGGTCCCCCACGGCTGAAAAGTGATCCTTGTGACATCCAGCTAGAGGGACCATTTGTGGTGAGAGGAGAAAGACCTGTTGTAGCAATCTGTCACCCGGTTCTGTGCTTCTGGGAAGTAAGAAGCCTCAAAGTGGATGGAATGCACTATGCAGAACTCTCACAGGTGAATTGCTTCCCAACACAGAGGGGAAGGGAATGCTGCATCTTGCCTGTTAATGTAGAACATGGTTGTCCTGTTATCTGTGACAACCAAAACTACTTTGTTCTTCTTTGAGTAGAGTCCCCGTGAGTGCTCCACCCTAGGTGAAGGGTCGCCCTGAGCCGCAGATCGGAGCTTTGTACAGCAGTTTCCCCTGTTGAGCTACGCATGCCCAGGAGGCGTCTCGAGCCCTTCCCGCCTCCTGAGGAGCGCGGCTCAACCCCCTCCCTTTCAGTTCCTCTTTAACCGCCCTCATCAGCAAACGGAGCAAACAGGAGCTCCCTGTCAGACTATCTGACTACTTTCCCTTTAGTTATTTAGCCATAGTTATTTTCCCCTGGTCTAATCTCCTGCAAGAGGTGCAGAAGAAACAATACCAATTGCTAAAGAATCTACATCCCACACTACCTGGCAAGATTGCCCTGCCCATAGATGAAGCAATAATGGAGACCTCAGAAGACCTGTGGAAGACACCTGCGTCCATTCAACCAACAAATAAGAAAATTGACAGAAAGTACTCTGTCCCCTCAAAAGACGACGACTTTCTCTTCACTCACCCACAACCTAACTCAGCACAACAACGAGCGAAGCTTCCACAATATAGGACGGGCAACGCAGACAAGGACCACAAAAAGTTGGACTCCTTTGGCAAGAAAATATACTCCTCTTCCACTCTACAACTCAGAATATCAAATTACTCTGCTCTCTTAGCAAATCATGACTTTGACAACTACTCAAAACTGGGAGAACTAATGCCACACCTCCCTGATTCCAAAAGACCCATCTTGAAATCAATAATTCATGAGGGCCATATGATCGCCCACACCACTCTCCAAACTGCAATGGATGTAGCTGACACCGCAGCCCGAGTTACAGCTACAGCGGTGGTGATACGTAGAGCTTCTTGGCTCCAGTCGTCTGGAGTTCTCCGCGAACTCCAGCCCAAAGTGGAAGACTTGCCATTTGACAAGCAAAAGTTATTTGCAGCCACTATGGATGAAATGCTCCACAACAGCAAAAATTGTAAGTCCACACTTCACACATTAGGCATGTACACGCCACCCTATAAACGCAGGCAATACACCCCATATAATTCATATAATCGATACTGATATGGGCAATACAATCAACCACAGAGGCCTTATGAAGACACCAGACCAAGACAGCGAGGTCCCAGAAGGCAACCCAACCAAGCCCGCCCACCAGCTACTCAACCATCTAAGCAGCAAATTTGAACATTTGGTCGAGGGCCTGCAAGACCTCCCTCTTGATCTAGCACCAGCTCAACATGGCCATCTATTCAACCACTGCTTGCGCCCCTTCCTCCCACAGTGGGAATCCATAACATCAGACCGCTGGGTCCTAGAGATAATTCAAGTGGGCTATACCATCCCTTTTATTTCTATCCCCCCTACCCTTCCCCCTACCCCGTCCCTTTTCAGGGACCACTCTCACTTAACCCTTCTAAAACAAGAGATAGATCGGCTCCTCATCATCAGAGCGATAGAAAGGGTACCCCGAGAGTTCCACGGGAGAGGGTTTTACTCGAACTATTTCTTGATTGAGAAAAGAACAATGGGTTGGAGACCTATATTGGATCTCCGCAAACTGAACAAATTTCTCAAGAAACAGCATTTCAAGATGGTCACTCCCTCCGCAATCATTTCTGCGCTAGATCAAGGGGACTGGTTCGCAGCCCTCGACCTCCAAGATGCCTATTTCCATATAACATCCACCCTTCCCACAGACGCTACCTACGCTTTGCACTCGGTCCAGACCACTTCCAATGCAAGGTTCTCCCCTTCGGCCTCTCATCAGCTCCGAGGGTATTTTCGAAGGTACTAGCAGTCGTAGCTGCGTACCTCAGGCGGCAGAATGTTATCATATTCCCCTACCTGGACAACTGCCTTCTAAAGGTATCCTCATACGCCAAAACCACCTCTATGGTACATACGACCACGGCCCTCCTCCACCATCACAGCCCTCCTGAACCATCTGATCAACAAAGATAAATCAACACTACACCTGGTCCAAGATATAGAGTTCATTGG